GTATTGTCTAAACAGTTTGTTGGATATCTACTTTAGATTGCTGTGTAAACAAATAACCCTTCCTTAATCATAGTAAAATGCCCTTGCTACTTGCTAGTGTGCTTTAGCTTAAGATTCATTTGAATTTTACATTTTTAAGGATTTTTGTCTCTCTTCTCTTAGTTTTTTAATGATCAAATAGTAACCATTATAAGTTCCCAAAACTTACTACTGTGGGGGGTTTTTTTTTTAATGTTCATAAATAAAAAGTAAATGGAAGTTGAAATTTTCTTTGAGATGCTATTGAGAAAATTTTTATCCGTCTTCTTCTTCACTTATAAAAACGACTTGAAAGTGATGCAAGAAAGGGCCCTTGTGATGAAAATATCGGAACTCTATAATTAAAGAAATCTCGTGTAAATATTGAAGGACAAAATTACAAAAACAGTGAATATTTGTTTGGAGGGACTTTCTCTAATAGGATATCATATCTGATTAAAATTATATTAGATTAAAAAAATATGTAAAACATATAGTTTTTAATATATACTTGACTGTTAAAAGTATAAAACTATTATTAGTTAATTTTCTTTTATCCTACCAGAGAAATTTCTTTAAATTTATTATTCTTTCTTTCTCTTTTAGTCTTTTAAGCTTCGTTCATTTTATCGATACGAGTTTTCAATTACAGTTTTGTTATAATTAAAAATTCTCATAAAAATCACATTTAATTTTTTTTATTACAGTTAAAAACTCTAATATAAAGTTATATTTCAATTCAAATTGAATATACGAATCGGCGAGAACTGAATGAATCCATAGTATATTGATTAAAACATTAAGCACTCCGTGATTAAAACATTGAGCACTCCATGATTAATTTTGTGTACGGTTTGATGAGTTAGATGTGGGGTCTAAGAGTACTTATCTGATCGGACTTGTTTTAAAGTGTGTGCTTTTCTGTTTTGGGACTTTCTGGTTCTCTCAGATTGGACAGACTGTTACACAATTGTAAGATTGAAAAGCCTCTTTGTCCACACCAATTTTGTCTTAGAATTTGGTTCCATATTGGTTTGCTACCTTCCGAGTTCTGACATTTTTATTGCGACCATTCACTGTTTACCAGGATGAATTTCGCAGCCTGTTTCTATTCAGGACAAAATTGATTCCGTTGCATATAATTTTACCTAAAACCAGCTAAGCACAAAATTACAATCCATCTAATCATGATCATCTCTGAGTGGCCAAAAATTATCGGTGGATGTATTTTTAGCCATTGAATTAACTTTTTAATGGTCTAACATGTCAGTGTTTATGTACAAAATTTTAAACGCACGATACTGAATTACTTCTAATTATAGATCAAAACTGAATTACTTCTAATTGTAGATCGAATCGTTGAAAAGTCAATTTAGCGATTAAAAAATGTACCTACAGTACAATCTTTATTACGCCCTTGTTTGTTCCAGCAATATTAACCCAACAATTCAATTCGGATTGTTATTTAAAGTTTAAATTGATGTTTGGTAGAGAACTAAATGAGGACAATTTAAACACTTAACAATGATTCAAATTCATGATTTCAGAATTCACCCCCTTCTAACAATCCGAATTGTTTTCTACAGTGAAAACAATTTGGATCTTACTTTTTCTCTCCTAAACTTCAAGTTTAAAAATGTCATAACTTCTTCGTTTTAATTCTGATTGCGATATTTTTTTTAATGTATTCATAATGAAGAGAGGAACAAAACCCAATCCATATTGCATATTTTTTAATGTCATTTACAATGCGGTTTTATAAGATTTGTTACAAAACTCTAATAACAAATTTTAACACTTTATCCAAACACATAGGGATGACAATATTCCCCATGGAGATTCACACCGAATAAACTTGGGATGGAGGATAATAATTAGAGACGGGGACAGGGATGGAGACAAAATCTTATCCCTAAGGGGGCGTTTGGTATGGAGTAATCTTTAAATGGGAATGAGAATCTTCACATATTACTATGTTTGGTACAAAAATTGTGATTTTTATATTCCCAGGAATACCTCGTCCCGTCCGCCCAAATCAACAATTTGAATCGTTAACCAAAACAAGACCTAAAAGTTTTACAAAATTGTCGTTTCGTTTTACTTCTGTCCCCATTTTCCTGGAGATTTTTTATCTGTTTAAAACTCAATAATTGCAAGCAAGTAGAAAAGACCATGGAGAATATTCTTATTGAATCGTCCGTTTGGAATCTCATCTTACACTTCATTGCAACAACTGAGCAGCTTTATTCGTTACCAGTCCATTTGATTGCATTACCATATCCTAGATGAAGATACATCTTGCACATAATACTACATTGTTATCGAAAATTCGACTAGAATTTAGAACATTTTGAGGATATGAGAAAATTGTTGAATTTACTTTTAGAGTGTATGGATTAAAATTGTTATCTCTTATTCTTAATTAATATCTTTTTAACTAATATAGTCATTTAACTAAAAAGGATATTTATTAAGAATAGAGGATAAAAATCTAGACCCATGCGCTCTAAAATTTGCCCTTGTTGAAGTAATGAACACATTTTCTGTAATTGAACTCTTCAAACTGTAATTAATGTATTGAAAATTTAATAAATTGATCGATATGCACATGTATAAAATGTGCTTCTAACTAGCTAATAGTATTATGTGTTGATTTTATTTGCATTTATAAATATTTCTTACATTTTTAGTTTATGCCCCACTGAAATAAAATTTTAGCTCTACCTCTCAGAATTATAGTCAACTAATCTTTTACGATTATTATTAGAGAGTTTCTCTAACAGATCGGTCTTATTTGATAGTGTCAGTTTTTAACTAATAAATTAAATCAAAATCACATTAAATTAAAAAAATATGCATAACAAATAATTTTTGATACAAATGTGCCGGTCGTAAATAAAAATCTACCGATAGTTATTTTTTTCTTATTCTACCATAGAAGCCCCCAATTATTAACCTGATGCTTTTCATAAATCTTGTTGTTTTCATTATAGCACCAAAAAGGCATGGACCACACTATTTGTTGAATCACTACTTCTCAACAGTGTTTTTTTTTTTTTTTTTTTTTTTGAAATAGCTATTCCATTAAAGAGTGAATAATACAGCAGATCTTCCTCCATTACAAGTCATACTCACCTTAGAAGTGGAGGCAATTACTTCTCAACAGTAATTGAATGATTTTTCTTGGGATTTCCACTGTATGCGATAACATGATTGAGGCAATCGCTGTTTCTTTAGTAGTACTTATCAATGGTAGGTGATTATTTTTATTTTATTTTATTTTTTTTAGTTAACCCCCTTTTATTCAAATTTGACTCCTGACTACGGTATATACTCCATAACATGACCCACAATTATTGGTAGTTGAAACTTGAAAAGACATACCCCGTCCTGGCTCAATATTAAGCATATAATATATATTTAAATAATATACATATATTTTATGATTGTAGGTGACGTTTGTTTCTTTTATTCGTCGTTAATTTTGAATCACGACTTATGATTTTTTATAATATTTTTTTCTTATAAAAAGTACACATGAAATGAGAATAGTTCTGAATTATAATTCTGAATACATGAACTAAACGTCTTTTAAGTCTCGTTCAGTTGTTCGGTTCTAATTTTAAATTTTAATTTATTTTAGTTAAAAATTTTCATAAAAAATCATATTTAAAATTTAAAATTTTACACTTTCATTTAAATTAAAAACTTCAATAAGAGAATTATAATATTATAAAATGTATCTTAACTCGAATTAGAAAATTATAATGTTGTAAAATGTATATCAATATTCTGAGAAGATAATGTGCGCAGAAAGTCTATCCATATATGAGCTCGTCAGGAAGTATATGTTAGTCTTGAATTGTCAGGCTCAGCGAGCCAGCCACTTCGAAGGTGATTTCTTTCTTTTTTTTTTTTTTTTTTCTACTTCAGCACCTATATTTTCGGTGAAGTAATTAAGAATTCATTTAGTTGGTTAATTTGAGTTGAGATGTGACTTTATGTAAGAGCTTTTTACTGTAGTAAAAAAGTTAAATGTGACTATTTTTAAAATTTTTTTACTGTAATAAAATTTAAATTGATAAAATGAATGAGATTCTTCATTCAACATATGCACCGTCAGAGAAGGAGGAAGTTTATTTCTCTTTATTTATTTTTTTCCAATGTCTATCAGAAAATATAGGTCTCGAACTTTGTAAACGATAACCATCCAGGGGAATGCTGACCGTCCTTATATCAATCAAAACTTTGAATGTAAAAAGAAGGCAAAAAAAAAACAAAACAAAAAAAATTGTGACCGTAGAAAATCTCACGTTTTTTTGTTGTTGTTTTATATATTTTTTAAGTATTCTATTTGGGTGAATGTAGAAAATCGCATATGTGACATGAGTTTAACAGAATTATAAAAACAAAAAATAAAAAAAAAGAGTGAAAACAGATTATCACTTATATAAATAAAGCTTAATTAAGTAGTATAGAGCTGGTAATATCATACAGCGTGACGAACTCAATAAAAGATTCCAAGTTTGTATAAATTGCTACTTCACCTATTTATGTCAATTGATCACAAAAAAGGCGAATTATTCAACTGAGATGTGAATGAAACCACTATTATTGATTAGCCAAAAAAAAAAAAAAAAAAAAAAAACCACTCTATTATGTGACAGTTCTAATGGACTGTCACATTACATATGTGATATTTTCGTTACTAACAGTGAAATATAGCATTTTTTAGGCCCGTTTAGTTTGCTGATTTAAATTTTTAATTCGAGTTGAGATGTGATTTTATTTAAGAGCTTTTTACTGTAGTAAAAAAGTTAAATGTGACTGTTTCTGAGAGCTTTTTACTGTAACAAATCTTAAATTTTAAATTTGAATCGGTGAAATGAACGAGGCCTTTATATACATCACATTAAAAAAATTTATTCTACAGAAAAAAGAAATACACTATTACATGTAACTATTTCTAAAGTTAATTTCAATTAAAAATGTACAGTATCAATAGAAAACATCCCTATCAAAATAGCTGAATTAAGTACCCACTATAGAAAAGTGAACTTTTATGACGATCATCGGATCATGTCATAGTTAAATTATAATTTGGTCGGGATGAAAATTGAAATTAGCCTTACTCCACTAAAATGGGAAGAGAGATCATTAACATTTAACAAAGTACGTTCTAAAATTTTGTTCTATGGACTAATCCTACAAATATACACAAAAAGATCTCATATTACAAATCATGATGATCATAATTATTACTATTATTTTTATTATTAATTACCCTGTTAAATTCCTTTCTTCCTCATGTCGTCTTGAACAAGAACACGTGATCAACGGCTCATGATCGGGAAAGCACGAGACGGCGGATGAGAAAGAATCCGTCGCCGTCGTTATCGTCGTCGTCGTCGTTGTCGCTGCCGAATGAACATCATTACAATCATCAGTACGGCCAGAATTATTCGCAAGCTCAACAAGAAGATCCATAAAAGCTCCGACAATAAAACCATGATTTTCCTTCCCATTCACTCTCAAATACCACCCCAACATCTCCTCCAAACCCTCCCACTCCTTCACCCCATTGATCTCCACCATCTCCTCCATCGACCGCCGAAAATCCCTGTACGGATCGTCTGACTCCATCGCCAAAACAACGCTCTCTCTCAACGGCTGGGAAATCTCGCCGGCGCCTGCGAGTACACCGGAGAAGTTGCCGGAGGAAGACTTCTCGGCCAATATGGAGCTGGTGTCTCCGCCGGGCTCGAAGAAGAGCCTGCGCTCCGAGCGGGCGCCGGCGACGAGCGTCTCGAGCGACTCGCCGTCGGGGAAGTCGTCGGACTCGGTGGTGGCGCCGGAGAAGCTGGCGGACTCGGAGGAGTTGGTGAACCAGGATTCGGGGGTGTCGACGGCGTCGTTCGGGTCGAAGAAGACGGAGTTGACGGTGCGGAAAACGTCGTCGGAGTCGAAGCGGTAGGAGAGGGTCTTGGGGTTGTGGTTGCATGAGTATGACGGCCATTGGCGCCAAGGGTGGTGTTTGGTTGAGAGGAAATGTGGGAGCTTCATTTTCTTGCCCATTAGATTGGGGTAGGGACAATGTGGGAAAAATATTGAATTGGGTTTTGTATTTTTTTTTTTTTTTTTTTTTGGGTTTCGGAGTTAAAAATATGGGGGATCAGAGAGAGGTGCGGAGAGTGTGGGTGTATTTAAAGGAAGATGGGAAGGAAATGGGTGAAGTACGGGCCTTTAGTTTTGATGGGTGAGTGGTTTTTAATTGGTGGGTTTGTTGAATTTAATGTTGATTGAATTAATGCCACCATCTAATTAAGACAAACTTAACGTATCACCATTCTAGTCAACATCAATTTTCTATTCGTTGAATATATATATATATATATATGTATGTCTTTTCCAGATTGTTGTGTGTTTGTGCATATAATATATTACAGCAATTGTGATGGGTAAGTCCTTTTATGTCCAGCTAAGAGTTGTTCACCAAAGGTTCATGAAAGTGGGGGTTTGGAGCTACCTTGAAATGAATAATGATACAATGCTTATCTTTTTTCTTTTTTTTTTTTTTTTTTTTTTTTTTTTAAAAAATTTTAAAATTTTTAATTTTTTTCTTTTTTTTTTTTTTTTTTTTTTTCATGTAAGAAACTTTACAATATTCAATTATGTAATCTATAATTTGAGCATAAACTGATTATAATCTGTTACTTTAATTGATCTTTAGATTTCTGTTAAAAGCGTTGATCATATAATGATCATACAAATTTTGTCATCATGTAAAAATCATTGCCCAAACCAAAAGAGAGACAACCATTATTACATGTCCCTGATTTCCATGCATTTTATTTTATTTTATTTTTTTTTTGTTTTCTACCCTTACACTTTTGTTAGTATACTACTGAAGAAAATTCGTGCAAAAGAAAAGGAAAACAAATAAGAAAGACCAACTATCGTTGTTCCAAAAAAAAAAAAAAAAAAAAAAAAAAAAAAAAAAAAAAAAAGAAAACAAAACAAAAAGAAGAAGAAGAAGAACAATCATGGAAGCAAAATTCATGCATTTTATTTTATTGTTTTCTACCCTTACACTTTTGTTAGTACACTACTGAAGAAAATTCGTGCAAAAGAAAGAGAAAACAAATAAGAAAGACCAACTATTGTTGTTCAAAAAGAAAAAAAAGAAAAGAAAGAAAACAAAACAAAAAGAAGAAGAAGAAGAACAATCATGGAAGCAAAATTCATGTGAGGTATTTAAGATAGAACAGTTGAATCACGCGTACATGCACGTTGTGATGCCCTTTTATTCATGAATTATGAAGGGGATAATTTAAGACCTCAAGAATAGGGTTCCATTATTTATGAGGACCTACTATTATATCTTTTTTGTTTTTATGCCTTATTCTGATTTACTAGCAGCGGTTAATTAAATAAAAATGATAACCCCCGTGAGGCTCCAACAAAACGACAACAAACTTGTTCTTCTTTCTTTTTTTTTTTTTTTTTTTAACTAAATAGTTATTTGTTTGCTAATTGCTATATTGTATAATCTATAGGTATAACACGCAGACAAAACTGTTTTGGTGTGAGCCTGTTAGAATATTTTTATGGGAACTTTCATAATCATAATAATTCACACTGTAATTTATTAAAGCATTTTATGAATAATTGTGTTAATGTAAATTAACACATACATGTATGTATAATATCGGTTTATAATGAGATGGATAATTTAATTTCTAATGTGTTTGAGGCTCTTGGACTCACTCACTCTAAATATTTGGTCAACCCATTAAGCCAAATTACCTCTCTATCCACGTTTTTAGTTAAGGCCCATTTTTGCCCTAGACTGCAGTAAAAAGCCAAGGGGCAAAATTTGGTGCCTCCTGCCGTGTATGGTGTGTGCCCGTGGGAGTGGAGAGAGGTAGTGGAGAGAAGAGTTCAAAATCCCTCCAACCTCCCTTTGATTTTCTCAGCCTCTTTGATCGGATTTCGGCCAAAATGACCGACGTTATTCCGTTGCCGGCAGGAAGAGGTAATCCTAAAACCATCAATTTTCTATATGCTTCAAGATCCAATTTGATAATGTGTTTTTAGATTCAATGGTTTAATTGACATTTAATCTCATTTACAAGTATTGAGAGCCCATTAGTTCCAGCAGAGCCTTCACAGGTGATCAGATTTTTAAATATTACCATAACTGCCAATTTTGTTTATTCATTTTACTTTACCGATTTTGAATTTTTTTTTTAAGGAATATACAGTAGTAAAAAGATTAAAATTTTAATTGAACTTGTAAAATAAAGGGGACATAACTTATTGACTGGACGACCCTATTTAAGCTAATGTTATTTATTTGTTTATTTATTTGACAAAACCATATTAGATAGGAAACAAGATTAGATATCCATATTGTTGTTATGGAGTAACTTATGCACTTAACCTTGTTTATGTAATTTTTGCTTTCTTTATTATCTTTTAATTGGGCGGGTATGACTGAATCTCATAAGTAATATTTAATCACCAAATGCCTTAATTCTGTATAACGAGCATGAGTCATATGACTTTGTACTCCAGAAGGGTACAAGTTGGCCCATGTGCAGGGTTGACGGTTTCCAGTTCTTAATTAACAAATTAAAAGGAATTGTTCTCTTATGAGATTAGGTGGGGATGATCAATCATAAAAAATAAAACGACATTATTTTATACTTTCTTTTTTCTTTTTCGTTTTAATAGCAAAACTTTGATTTATGAGACTTATACTAATAAATCAGGTTTTTTATTAATAAAATGTGTATAAAATCACGTAAAAATTAAAAAATATACATATTCAACCATTAAAAAAATTTTATCTACTGCGTACTAGAGAATCTCCATTAATTTACATGTCAAATAAATTGCAGGTAATTTGGCAACAATCAGTTAATCAGTTAATCCACTTGGACCAATATGGCTTCAATAATAGGAAATTATTATAATGTTGTTGCGGTTGGGAGTACTATTGGGACCATTGTCCTACGCTAGAGTATATAATTGCTAGGGTACGTCTCTGTTTCTCTGTTGGTGTGTATGTGTTACTCAAAACGTACATGTGTCATATCCATGTGAAATGGGCCCAAATGGCTGTTCTTGTTGTACGAAGATCATCTTTTTCTCCATGAGAGTGACACTAATGGGGTTCTCTCAAAATGTTATTTCCAACAAAGTGCAAAGACAGCAAAAAATTTAAAAAAAAAAAAAAAATCGGCGGGGGTATAAGGGAAAGTTTTTTTTTGGGAAAAAAAATTCATTTCATTAAAACAAAATTACATATTCAAACTAATCAGAAGTGAGTACCATCTACAGTAAAATTTGACTCCAAACATTGCTTGGATCTACCAATAAAGACGGATAAAGCAGAGAGACGAAACACAAATATTGAAGCTTAAAGAGGAAAGACCTGTTAATCACATAAAGATTGAGTGCGATCAAGATTTGTTAGACATAATCAGTACTGTAGTTGATGGTATGAAGGGGCCTAAAGGAAAGTTTCATTGTATGACATGAAAAAAAAAAAAAATTTATTGGTAGGATTCTGGTTTTAATCATTAGATATGTATATTGTCAATTTTGTACACTTTTTCTATTTTGTAATGATTCAAATCTAATGTTTAAAGACATTAATGTGGACTACCGATAGGTATTCCTTGACGTTAAAAGCTCCTAATATAAAACACAAAAGATATAAGTGTGGTATAATTGGAATTATCCTATTATTGAATGAGAATACAAATATAACTTTTTTTTGTTGAGTGAGATTACAAAAAATTTGAGTTTTTTAGATTACTAAGAGCATAATTAAATTTTCCACTAATTTACATTCGAAAATTTATTTTTTTCCCCCCAAAATCTCCAGCATATGCCATGTACAGAGAGTGACAAAAGTCGATAGGGATTGCAAAAAAAAAATTAATAGGGAGTGGCAAAAGTTGCTGCAGCATCCCATGTCATATTGCGGACAAACCACAATTACTAATAGCATAAAGATGTTAGGCCATGAATGGCGCCTAGTAGTACTACTTAACTGTCGCATGTACATTTTTGTTTTTTTTGTTTTTTTGTTTTTTTTAATATCCAATGAACCCTCTGAAAAGATAGGCATAACAAAATAATGTTGCTGTTGTTTCCTTCTTTTGCTCCCTCCACATGGATTGGGTTGAAACATTTGATTTGTTTTATATCATAATGATTTTATAAAGTAAACAAGTAAATATTTACCAAACAAGTATTTGCTCTTACACATAAATATTACATCTTTTTACAAAAAAATAATCGTTACATAAATTATTGTTCTATTACACTCTCTTCTTTTACGTTTTACATATGATACTTTCGAACATGAAAGACTGAAAACAAACACCAAACACACACAAAAAAAGGGGGGGATTTTCTATATATATATATATATATATATCATAATTCTGAAACTATGATTTAGAATCAGGAGTTTGAATCACCTTGAATCAAGAGAGGGTGTGGTTTTAGAATAATGATTTGAGCTAGTTTAAAACATCACATCAAATTTTGAATCATGATTCAGAATTATCCAAACTAAACACTGATTCTGAATCATGATTTTAAATCATGATTCAAAATCACTTTAAACAAACACTAATTTTGAACGAGAATCTATAATCATAATTCTGAATCCATCTACCAAACGCACTCTTAGTTTGCATATCTACGATCTCGTAGGCAAGGAATGTATGTTTTTTATAGAAAGGCCAGTAATTTGTATTCACATTTATAAAATATGCATTTCTTCTTTATCCTGAGAAATGTCATGTACACGCATTATGTGAAAGAGAGAGAGGAAAAAAAAAAAAAAACTTCACAAAATTACAAACCTAAAAATATAAGAAAAGGTAAAATCCATGGTTTTGTGCTTTGACAATTCCGACACAATCATGAAGCTTCCAGGAACAATATTCTGTGAAGTTTCCTACCATTTCAAAGTTTGAAAGAACTTTCATGATGACTTAAGTTAATTCATAATAATGATGAGATACATTTCTCATCTTTGGCATGTATTATGCACAAGAGAATCCACATGTGCAAGATAAAAGTCTAACTATATATAATATATTTTAAGAATGTGCTAAACATTTCAAATAACATGTATTCATCATTAGTATAGAGCTCAAAATATTATATTCTCTCAAAAAATAACCCCT